CCTCCATCCCATCCCATCCCATCCCATCCCATCCCATCCCATCCCATCCCATCCCATCCCATCCCATCCCCCCTCACCCCTCCACGCCGCCGTACAGCGCGGCCATGGCGGCTCCGCCCCGCCCCCACCCGGAAGTACGCGGGGATGGAGGTAGGGGGCGGGGCTTATAGGGGCGGGGCTTTGTGGGGGCGGGGCTGGAGTTATAGGGGCTGGGGTTATAGGGCTGGGATTATAGTTACGGGGTTATAGGGGCGGGGATGTAGGGGCGGGTATAGGGCTGGGGTTATAGGGGCGGGGTTATAGGGCTTAGGGCGGGAGTTATAGGGGCGGGAGTATAGGGCTGGGTATAAGGGCGGAGGTTATAGGAGCAGGGTTACGGGGCGGGGGCTATAGGGGCGGGGTCATAGGGTTTAAGGCTGGGGTCATAGGGTTTAAGGCTGGGGTCATAGGGCTGTGTATAGGGGCAGGGTTATAGGGCTTAAGGCAGAGGTATAGGGGCGGGGTTATAGGGTTCAGGGCTGGGGTTGTAGGGGCAGGTATAGGGGCGGGGGTTATAGGGCTATAGGGGTGGGGTAATAGGGCTGGGTATAGAGGCAGGTATAGGGCGGGGGTTATAGGGGTGGGGTTATAGGGGCAGGTATAGGGCTGGGTATAGGGGTGGGGGTTATAGGAGCGCGGGTTATAGGGCTGGGTATAGGGGCGGGGTTATAGGGATGGCTGCTATAGGGCTGACTATAGGGCGTGGTGGCCATAGGGCGGGCTATAGGGTGTGGGGGCTTTAGGGCTGGCTATAGGGCGTGGCAGCTATAGGGCTGGCTATAGGGCTGGCGGCTATATGACTGGCTGTAGGGCTGGCTATAGGCCCTTCTCTGGTGGCTCTGGCGTGTCCCCAGGTCCTCCACGCAGCCATTGGGGTCCGTGCGAGCTGCGAGGGGCCCCGTGTCGCTCTGAGCCCCATCCCCCCTTTTGGGGTTTCCTCCCCCTTTTGGGGTTTCCCCCCCCATTTGGGCTTCCCCCCCCACATCCGGCCGCACGAACCTCCGCTCCGAGGGGGGCGCTCTCCACATCCGGCGTCGCTCTCCACTTCCGGCTCCGCTCTCCACTTCCGGCGCCGCGTGGTTCAGCGCCTGCGCCGTCACGGCAGCGGCGGAGGGAGGCCGGGGGGGGGGAGGGGGGTTCGGGCGGAGCGGGGGGGGCCCGGCCGCGCCATGTGGTTTCTGTACGCGCTCAGCTGGCTGTCCCTGCTGCTGCAGGTCGCCTTCGTCACTCTGGCCATCGGTGAGAGGCGGGCGGGGGGCGGCGAGGCCTCGAGGCCGTAGGGGGGCGGTGGGGGGAGGGGAAAGGTGGGGACCGGAAGTTGTTCGGGGGCCTTTGAGGTGCGCGGGAGGGTGGGGGTCACGTGGGGGGCTTCTGGGTGTCCCCCTCCCCACGGCTGGGGGTCACGTGGGGGTGTCCCCGAGGTCCCACGGGTGTCCCTAAGGTCACGTGGGTGCCCCCACGGCTGGGGGTCCCATGGGTGTCCCTAAAGGCCCCCTGTGGTTGGGGGTCGTGTGGGTGTCCCCAGGGTCCCATGGGTGTCCGTGAGGTCCCATGGGTGCCCTCCATGGCTGAGGGTCCCCTTGGTGTCCCTAAAGGTCCCTGGGTGCCCCCATGTTTGGGGGTCCCAAGGGTGTCCATGAGGTCCCATGGGTGCCCTCAGTGATTGGGGTCCCCTGGCTGTGCCCCTGTGGTCCCCTGGGTGCCCCCATGCCTGAGGGTCCCCTTGGTGTCCCCGAGGTCCCACGGGTGTCCCTAAGGTCCCATGGGTGCCTCCATGGCTGGGGGTCCCATGGGTGTCCATGAGGTTCCATGGGTTCCCTCTATGGCTGTGGGTCCCCTGGGTGCCCCCATGATTGGGGGTCATGTGGGTGCCCCCGGGGTCCCATGGGTGTCCCGAAAGGTCCCATGGGTGCCCCCAGTGGTTGGGGATCCCCTGGGTGTGCCCCTGTGGTCCCCTGGGTGCCCCCATGCTTGAGGGTCCCCTCGGTGTCCCTAAGGTCACATGGGTGTCCTTAAAGGCCCCTGGGTGCCCCTATGGTTGGGGGCCATGTGGGTGCCCCCAGGACCCCATGGGTGCCCCCATGATTGGGGGTTCTCTGGGTGTCTCTAAGGGCCCCTGGGTTCTCCTAATGGTTGAGGGTCCCCTGGGTGTCCCGAAAGGCCCCTGGGTGCCCCCTGTGGTTGGGGGTCATGTGGGTGTCCCCAGGGTCCCATGGGTGCCTTCGGTGGGGGTACCCTGGCTGTGCCCTTGTGGTCCCCTGGGTGCCCCCATGCCTGAGGGTCCCCTGGGTGTCCCAGAGGTCCCATGGGTGTCCCTAAAGGCCCCTGGGTGCCCCAGGGTCCTATGGGTGCCCCCATGGTTGGGAGTCACATGGGTGCCCGTGGGGTCCCTGCAGTCCCATGGGTTCCCCCAAAGGTTGGGGCTGTCCCCAGAATCCCATGGGTGTCTGTGAGGTCCCCTGGGTTCTTCAGAGGTCCCATGGGTGCCCCCATGGTTGGGAGTCACATGGGTGCCCATGGGGTCCCCTGGGTGTCCCTGCAGTCCCATGGGTTCCCCCAATGGTTGGGGGTCTCATAGGTTCCCTCAATGGTTGGGGGTCACGTGGGTGTCCCCAGGATCCCCTGGGCGTCCCTGATATCCCCTGGGTGCCCCCATGGCTGGGTGTCCCCTGTCCATCCCTTGGGGTCCCCTGGGTGTCCCCCCATCCCCTGGGTGCCCCAGCAGTTGTGGGTCCCCTCTGGTCGGCACCGCAGTCCCCTGGAGGCTCCTCAGTTCCTTTGGGGGGGGTCCTCGAGGTGCCACAAAAGTCGGGGGGCTCACGGGGTGGAAGTCCCCAGGCTGGGGGTCCCTTGGGTGCCCCTGATGTCCCCTGGGTGTCCCATAGGATGGGGGTCCCCCCGCTGAGCCGGGCCTTCCTCCCGCAGCCGCCGGCCTCTACTACCTGGCAGAGCTGGTGGAGGAATACACGGTTGTGACCAGGAGGGTCATCAAATACATGATCTGGGTGAGTGGGGGCCCGGCGCCCGCGGGGGTGGGACGTGGGGCTGCCGTGTGGGGTGGTACTGCTGTGCCCCTCCTGGGGGGGGCTGGGACATGGGGTGGCACTGCTGTCACATATCTGGGGGGGGCTGGGACATGGGGTGGCACGGCTGTGCCCTTCTGGGGGCTGAGATGTGGGGTGACACTGCTGTCCTACATCTGGGGGGGGCTGAGATGTGGGTTGGCACTGCTGTGGCCCTTATGGGGGGGCTGGGACATGAGGTGACACTGCTGTGCCCATCCTGGGGGGACTGGGGGTGTCCTGGCAGAGGATGGGATGTGGGGTGACACTGCTGTCCCATATCTGGGGGGGTTTGGGACATAGGCTGATGCTGCTGTGCCCATCTGGGGGGCTGAGATGTGGGGTGACACTGCTGTCCTGCATCTGGGGGGGGGCTGGAATGAGGGGTGACACTGCTGTGCCTGTCCTGGGGGGTGTGGGACTTGGGGTGACAGTGCTGTGCCCCTCCTGGAGGGCTGAGGTGTGGGGTGGCACTGCTGTGTCCATCCTGGGGGAGCTGGGGGTGTCCTGGCTGAGGGTGGGATGTGGGGTGGCACCGCTGTGCCCCTCCTGGGGGGCTGAGATGTGGGTGGCACCGCTGTGCCCCTCCTGGGGGGCTGAGATGTGGGTGGCACCGCTGTGCCCCTCCTGGGGGTTTGGGACATGGGGTGGCACTGCTGTGCCCCTCTGGGGGCTGAGATGTGGGTGGCACTGATGCCCCACATCTGGGGGCGGCTGGGGGTGTGCTGGCAGAGGCTGGGA